TTTGCAGGTGTTTTGAGTTGATTAGCTGATTGGCATGTCACCATATTCTAATTTGTTGAGATAGTGAATTGGTGGGTTTTTGTTAAATGTGAGCCAAAATCATCACAATTAAAAGAACCAAAGACTTAAACTACTTCAGTCTGTGTGCATTGAATTTATTTAATACACGAGTTTCACAATTTGAGTTGAATTACTGAAATAAATTAACTTTTCCACGACATTCTAATTTCTTGAGATGCACCTGTACACTCATAGAAAATACGTGTGCGACCGCCTGAAACGCTGTTTTTTTTCACCTCAGTGAAAGCGAAAGCAGATGATGTCAGGAAACAGTGGTTGAAATTTATTTTTTAACTCTGTTCCTGAGCATTATAACCCCAATTTGCTATTGTGTGCTGCGCATTTTACTGAGGACAGCTTCCACAAACCGAGTGAGTGTAGTGTTCCGGATTCGCCAAAAGCTTTTGTTGAAAGACGGAGCAAAGGGCGTGGCCGTAATGAAACACTGTCTAAGCTGTTCACCAATCACAACGCACTGGGACAGCTAACCAATCACAACACATTTTGTTTTTCGGAAGGCGGACCTTCATCAAAGCCGGAACTAATCGAGCCGTTTGTGCCAGGCTGGGGAGAAAGGTATTTTAATAATGTAAATTATGTGAAAAATAATGCGTTTTTCGAACCACCAAGCATGAGAGCATGTTCTAGTACACCCCCAAAACAAAATCAAGACTTTGTAAAAGAGCATAATAGGACCCCTTTAAATAATGCAGCAAATAAAATGAAATACCTTCAAGTCTCTGTGGATGAGCTTGTTTGCATGGATGTATTCCACTCCAGTGATAATTTCATAAAATATTTTATGGATTTCCAGTGTGGTTCTATGTTTTTTCAAATAATTTCTCGCCTGTATCCAACCAGTCAGAGTTCCTCCCTCACAGAACTCCATCTGAATAAATAAATATGTCCTGCTGCTGAAATAAGAGAGAGAAAAAACAGGCATGACCCATGGATGAATATTTAACATTGTGAGGTATTATCTTAAAGCTGTCATATCATACATTTTTTTAACATTTTATTTTTCTCCTGATTGCATTTTAATTTTCTCCACCCTTAAAATGAAACAGGATGTGTTTGCTGCTGTGCCTCATTGAATGTGAAATGACTAACAGCATTTACTCAGGGTTTGCCTTCTGGTTTCATATTGTTTAAACTGCTCCACCCTTCAATAACAGCCTCTTTCATCACATTATGACAGATTCTAGAAGCAATCTGTGTTGAAATGTGCCACTCAAACTGTTCAGATCTTTTTCAAACTATTGGCATTCTTCAGAGCGAATGGCAGAGCAGCAGTTTGATTTAATTAGATGTTGTTGTTTTTTTTTGACAAGTTTTGAGTTTTATATATATATATATAGTAAAATAAATGCATCAATACAATTCATAAATATCATTATTGAGAAGCACTGTATGCTCAAATGATTAAAAGCACCAGAGGCTTACTTGGACACTTGGTTTCTTTGCTGGTTTGATGTCCAGATATCAGGACCATGCCAAGATGTAATGTAACGTACTATGTTTGGGTGCTCTAGTTGAGCCAGTGCCTTCACCTCAGAATCAGCTTTCCTAAATAATAATAATAAAATAATAAACAAACTTTTTCCTGTGACATGATGAAAACTGTTCTTCCAAAAATTTAATGTATAAACTTACCTGGTTAAGATGACCTTCTTCAAAGCATAGATTTTTCCATCAATTTTATGTTTAACTTTATAAACGCAACCATAGCCTCCATCACCAAGCTCTGTGATCATTTCAAATAACCTATAAATGATGCATTCATGTAAAACATTTTAACATACAGCAAAAATTAATTGTATGTTCATTATGTTTTATCACTATAAACATAAAATTAATTTCTTCCTTAAAGAGTTAAACAAAGTTAGATGCTAAAGTCAGGTTCTGTTTACTTACTCTGAATGTGAGCCCAGTTTACCGTCTTGTAGACATGAATCACTGATAAACAAGAAAAGGAACTAATCAATAACAAATCATTTAAAATTATTATTCAACACACTGCCTAGGGTGACCATACGTCCTGTTTTCCCCGGACATGTCCTCTTTTTTGACCTAAAAAACTGCATCTTCATCCCGCTCCCACTGAATTTCTGACCATTGCCACCTGCTCCCGCAACATGTGTTTTGCTCCCGCGATTTTCGTTTCCACTCCTTGAAACAGTCTAATTTTGTAGGCTATATCATTTCGGCACATCTGGGACCCGCTCTCAGTACGCAGAGTATTTAAATAGCAAAAATTAATTGTATGTTCATTATGTTTTATCACTATAAACATAAAATTAATTTCTTCCTTAAAGAGTTAAACAAAGTTAGATGCTAAAGTCAGGTTCTGTTTACTTACTCTGAATGTGAGCCCAGTTTACCGTCTTGTAGACATGAATCACTGATAAACAAGAAAAGGAACTAATCAATAACAAATCATTTAAAATTATTATTCAACACACTGCCTAGGGTGACCATACGTCCTGTTTTCCCCGGACATGTCCTCTTTTTTGACCTAAAAAACTGCATCTTCATCCCGCTCCCACTGAATTTCTGACCATTGCCGCCTGCTCCCGCAACATGTGTTTTGCTCCCGCGATTTTCGTGTCCACTCCTTTAAACAGTCTAATTTTGTAGGCGATATCATTTTGGCACATCTGGGACCCGCTCTCAGTACGCAGAGTATTTAAATCTCTTTTGAATGAGTGTTTGCACTGTTCACTTTCGATTTCGTGATCACACGCACTCTGTGTAAAGAAAGCACATCTTACAAGATCAGATATTTGTCAATGAGCTCAGGATCTGTTGAGCAGCAAATACTCCAGCATGGTCTTGTCAGTCATCTCTCCTTATTCTCGACCTGGGATCAGTCAAAGCTGACTCCTGCAGCTCTTCTTGGATGCAGGGTTGCCAAGTCTGTGTTTTTTTCCACAGAATTGGGCTACTTTTAAACTGTTGCCATGGGTCGATTTTCCCAAGTGGGTTAAAGGTTTTAAATATTGCAAAACTTAACTTACATTAACTGTTCCCTCCTGGTGGGATGACCTGCCCAACTAAATCCAAGCAGCTGAGTCCTTAATCATTTTCAAGAAACAACTGAAAACACATCTCTTTCATCTTCATTTCACCCTCTAAATCTAGAGCTCTCTTCTAATGCTAATTCTAATTTGATCTGCTTGTTTTTTTAATTAAAAAAACTTAACCCTCTTAACATTTGCACTCTCTATTCTATTTCTATTCTAACTACTTGTTTAATAATAAAAAAGAGCCTTTAACACTAGCATTCTCTATTCTTTGTCTATTCTTTTTACTTATTTTCTTTTTTGTTTATTATAAATAATGACCTTCTAACACTTGCATTATCTATTATTGTTCTGTTCTATTGACTTGTTTTATTTGTATTTATTATAAAAAAAAAAACAAGCAAAAATAAAAACTTGCTGATGCATACTGTGTTGGGCAAACCCCGCCTCCACTGTCCTCTTTTTGGAAAACTAAAATATGGTCACCTTAACACTGGCCACACCAAATGCAACGAGTCACAGTTGTGAGTGTTTTAATAAAATAAACACAATGCAAACCTCTCTTGGCTGAAACTTTCCTCGCTCCACTCCTTATTCAGAGTCCACACATTGCTTACGCTACATTTCTCTACTTTTCCCTTCTGCATCATACTGTACAGCTGTTTGTTGAGGCCTTGTCTCGACTGTCCCAGGTCTCTGGCGATCTGATGGGCTTTCAAACCTCCTGATCTCAGCAGATCCTCCACAGGTTTCTCCTCACTTGTGTCTCTTGTCGTCTGAGGCTTTTGCTCTGGTTTGAGTGTCTGTTTGATCTCAGTCGTCTTCTCCAGAAGATCCCAAACTGGAGGCGTCTCGTTAGTTCCTGACACCTGATTTGATTTCTGTAGGCTGTACAAATGCTTGTTCACGATGCGTTTATCTAGTCCGATTTCTTTCGCAATTTTCAACGCGTTGCTTTTGCCGTTTCGCCTCAAGACGTCACAGATCGTTTTCTCTATTTCACTACTGTCGCCAGACATTTTGCTTCTGTCCGAAATGTTTTTAATGCAGTTAGATTGACGTCTTCTACCCTCTCTGGTCGGTCTAGAGACTGAAAGTCTCAATAGTTCCGCGTCGGTATTTAAACAACCTTCTTTGACTTTCAGCTTCGATTATAACAAGCCCAGCTCTAGGTTTCCAATTGTCACCATCCTAAACTTTTATTACGCAAGTTAGCATATACAGTACACAACACACCATTACAGAAGAATGGAATGCTTATGTATCATTATTGTGTTTGTCATCATCATATACATTGTAGCACTGATCTATAGCCTAAAAAGTACAGAATTAATAAACAGTTTATTAAGGAAATAATCCGAGTTTATAGGTGATTTAAAAAAAAAACATATCAGTATAATGCCTTAAAAATGTATCTTATTTAATTACTAACAGATTTTATATACTTATATTTATGTATTAATTCATTTAAAAGCCTAGAAAAAAAAAAGAATTGTGACGTTCGCAGAGAAGGTAACCATGGCAACCGTTTGCTGTTTCGAGTTAAGGAACTTTTTTTTTTTTTTTAATTAAACTTCAATAAACACAGTCAAAGTACAGTTAGGACTACAATAATACACATGAAAACATAAAACACAAACAAAACATTAAAAAAAAATATATGCATACAAAATACACATACAGCCAGGGGGGTGGCCTAAACATTATGTAAATATATTAAAGGACTTACAAATGGAGACAGTCTTAATTGCTTTCTTATTATGTAAATACAAAATCGTCTTAACATAAATTTGAATTTCTTTCTCAAGAACCAAAAATAAAGGATTGCTTTTACTGTACTTACACTTATGGATATGAAATTTAGCAAAAATTAAAATTAAATTTATAATGTAATATTCTTTGGTTTCATTTGAAGGGATATTAGTAAAACCAAAACGTGTTCTAAGCACAAAGAAAAAGTGGGGTCAATGTTAACAATTATAAATCTAGTCAAATCTTTCCAAAAAATGTTTACATAAGAGCAATGCCAAAATAAGTGAAACAAAGTTTCAGTCATCTTATTACAGAAAGAACAATTCAAATCAATATCATTTTTAAATTTAACAAGAAAATAATTTACTGGGTAGTATCTATGTAAAATTTTAAAGGTTACTTCCTTGACTTTGTTTACCAATAGGTATTTGTTTGGCAAGGTCCAAATGGCCTTCCATAATAAACCTTTAACTAATCTGTTCCAATAAATACAGTTTGGAGAAGAAACAATGAGTTAAGGAACTTTAAAATCGATCTCATTTACCACATGACGTCACTTGATTCCACCACACTGTAAAAAAAAAAAGACTTTTCAAAGTTGTAAATAAAACAAGCATTGTAGTAGGCCTACATTTTACATTTCAGCCTACTACTTTCACCTTTAATTAAATATTACTTGCTGTTTGTTTGTAATTGTGAAATTTAATTAATAATTTTATTTTAAAACTAAAATACTACATTTATTTAGTAATAATTGTTTCGACACCAATTTTCTTCCCCGGTGTACTTAATGTGAAAACACTTTTTGTGCGAGTTTTAACACGGTGACATTTTAATATTATAAAAATTGCCATTTTAAACTTTTTTCTCTCTCGCTCTATTTTTTAGCTGACATGTTCTGGAATAAACTGATCATGTCTTTGACCTAATTTTGACATCTTCAGACGCTGAATGTAGGTGTTTCAACAGGATTCTTATTTACAATGACAGCCTAGCAATTTAAGTAGTTAAGTACTGTATGTTTAATCCGATCTTTTAAAATATTTTCACAAGAGCTTCCCAATAATATAAAATCAGAAGTGAGCAAATCAGAAAAGCTTCACAAACAGCATAAAATCAAAAATAAATAAATGCATACAGAAAAATATGGCTACAAATGTACCACTTTTCCCAGAGACTCCATAACTGTACACTGGAAAAAATGACCGTGAATTTAACGGTAAAAGACTGTAAAAATGCTACAGTAAAATCCTGTTAAATGGTTAACGGTAAATTCCCCTACTATATACAGTGAAAAACTGTATTGGACATTACATGTATTGGACATTAATTTTACGGTAGTATACCGTTTTTGGAAGTGAAAAAGACCGTATAACTTACAGTAAAGAACCGTAAATTGACATTCCCAGAATTCCCTGTGTTAATTTCAAATTTGATGTTTTTTTGTTGAAATAACTATGTTTCTTCTTAGTTTTTTCTTATCAGTTTTGTATATTAGGGTTGTGTGTTACACCTAATGTTGTTAAATGAATGTTTATTGCATTATTTCAGTTTCATGTGTGTTAGCATGATGGTGTTTAGCGTTTGTGTGAATGACACTGTGCACCTTCTATATATGTTATTATTTAAAAGCTGCTTGTGATGGGCTTTGGTTCATCATGTGACTTTCTCATCACCTCCTGCATTTGGTGGTTATCAGTGTATTACAAAGGTACAAAACAGATTTCAGTACTACAATAGGTTGGTATATTAACATTATATCAGTTAATGAAATTATGGTATTTAACTGTAAATTTAAGTTAAAACCGTAAAACCTAAAACGTTGCTACCGTATTTTTTACAGTAAAATTCCAGCAACCACAGCTGCCGTTTTTTTACCGTACATTTTAGGGAATTTTTTTTACAGTGTAGACAAGGTTAAAAACTCCATGATTTATTGTTACAGATTATTGTGCAATACAGACAGGTTTACAATAAGACACAGCTAATGGATTCAACTTCTGTTCCAAAGGGAATTCATGAAAATAGAGTGAATCAATAGTGTCAACCACTGATTCTTGACATGATAATTCATGCAAACATACAGACTGAATTACAGTAATACAACAGCATGATCAGAGAGAAGTGTTAGACACAAGATAAACAGACTTTTACTTTTTTGCACTTGTTTTTCTTTCTTTTGTGTTTCTTTTGTTCAGAACATAGCAGACATTCTGCTACACATTTTCCACAGGAGAACGGCATAAGGATGAGTAAATGATGACAAAATTTAAATTTTTTACATCGACTTCCCCCTCGTAGTTGTTTTTAGAATTGCACACTTGCCAAGTTGCTCTATAGAAGCATCAGATAAATGCTTCACCTTTAATGTTACAGTATAAGCAACTGCTATTATTATAAATGCATATAAGAGATGAGATCTCATTAAATGGTCCTGTTGTCTTTATCTGCATTCAGGATGTTAGTATAACGGTCCAGCTCTCTGATCAGCTCGGAGGCGTCTGGTCTTTCTTCAGGACTGGGACTCAACATCCGGTCTATGAGCTTGTGCTATTTCATGAGACAGCATGTTAGATAACGGTCAGCTTTGACTAACTGATTATAGCAGGCTAATGTTTAAAATAATTGATAAATTGATTGATATGCATATGGTAGCACTTGCAATGAAGAAAAGCATGCTCAGTATCAACATCTTCTATCATGAAATTACACTCACCTCAAAGCTATATTTCTTGGAGAACTGTGGTGGAAAATCCCTACTTCTTATTTCATCCCAAATCTAAAAGTCAGTCCAAAAGTAAAAAAAAAAAATTCATTATTTATACACTGCAAAAAATAATTTTTGATACTCAGTATTTTTGTTTTGTTTTCTAGCGCGAATGTCTAAACATTCTGAAATATATATACATTTACTTGAGAAGCAAAATAAGATATTAAGTCTTGTTTTATTAAAAAATCATAAATTTAGTTTTTGCTTAAAAAAAAATTTAAATAAAATTGAAAAACATTTTTTTAATGAAATTAAGTTTATTTTTTCTGACCCCACTGGCAGATATTTGTTCCTGTTTTAAGCATAAAATCACCTAATTTTAATATTACATATAATTTAATCTTAATATTTAATTGATAATTTTTCAGAAAATAAATGTCAATATCTTAAGTCATTCTGGTTCTCAAGTAAATGTATCTTGACTTAAGAATGTTCAGATGTTTGTACTAGAAAACAACAAAAATACTAAGAAAATCATTCTTTGTAGTGTAACACATCAGACACATACATGCAGATTAAATTTCATATTCAAGATGAATACATAGATTTATTATGATATATATTATATAAAGGACTAAAAGATGAATCAAACCTTTTTCCTTTCATCTCTGAAGAGATTCCAGATGAGTTCAAAATAAATGAGACCCAGAGTGTATATATCCACCTTTCTGTCATACGATGTTTGAGTCGCCTAAATATTCAGTTTAGAACAATTAAATCTTCAGCATTACACTCACATAAAACACACTTATATGTGACCCTGCAGCACAAAAACAGTTTTAAGTCGCTGGGGTATATTTGTAGCAATAGCCAAAAATACATTGTATGGGTCAAAATTATCGATTTTTCTTTTATGCCAAAAATCATTAGGATATTAAGTTAAGATTAGAGCCCGACCGATATGTTTTTTTTTGGGACCGATACCGATATTAGGGAGTAAAAAAAGGCA